TGTGGCCGGTAATTTTGCAAATCTCGCGATTTTCAATACCTGCGTTTGACAGCAAAGTGACGGCAGTTGCCCGAAGACAATGGTTTGTATACACTTTGAGACCAGCGTTGGTAGAAATTTCTTTCATCAGGTTGCCAATGACGTTTACACCAACTGGCCTCGTGGTGTACCATTCGGTGTCGTCGACGTGGACTCGTCTCTTAGGAGCCTGGTAAAAAGCACCATTGTTGGGATTGAGGAGAGACATGTATTTTTTTAATGAAAGTACAGGGCAGAATTGGTCCGATGTTGCATAAATGCGTTCGTTGGGCCCATTTGAGTCTTTGAGGTCCCCCTGTGATTTTTAGTGACTTCGGAGTGTGTCATTTCAATAAACTCGAACCCCTGTTCATCAGTTGATTGACGAAAGGAAGATGCAGTTAATTCCCTTTGGTTTTCTTTACAACGACGAGCGAAACCGAGTGTAAGGTCGAACCACACTTTACGAAGCAAGCCGGAAGGAGTTTCCGTATCCAAACTTTCACGAATTTTTTAAAAATCATTCTCGGGGATAGCAGCATGTTGTGTTGTCTGGTCAAGTTTTTTTTATCATGGACAGAAAAACATTGTTTGCAGTGTGAAAATCCCGGTCTTGGATAATGTTTTTGCTGCGCTCAAATGGCGGGCCCCTGGTGTGCCTGTGTATGGCAGCACGCAACCCAACAAAAACCCGATTTTGAGTAAAGATCTCCCTCAGCATTTCTGACTTCGGCTTGAAAGAACCTCAGTCTCTCATTCAGTTGAGAAGCAGGAAGCTCTTCGAACTTGGGTTCCAAACCTCGGAAACCAAGCCATTTTGGAAGTAAAAAAGATTGCCATGTTCAGGGTACAAATGTGACAGTAATAGGGGGTAATTTATTATTACGGTGTCGTGTTTAAATGAAATTTTCGTACATCCATTTAGCATAACATATCTCAAATCTTACAAAACGAAATATTTAATTTACGTTAAGATTGTGGTCAATCTCGTTATATTATTGCCATTTTTTGCGATGACACATTGGTCACGCTTTACATTGCTATAATGGCAATGGTGTAAGGGAGGTAACTCTCGCTGATGTTGATCGAATCTGCGTAGGAATTTTAGGTATGTGTTTATGTATACTTTTATGTTTCAATGCCTTACGTCGAAATATTTTAACTCCCCAGGAGGTATTACGCCCAGTAGATTTGGAGAGGTTCCCATCCACGATGTCCTGTACTGTTTTTGCATCAAGGGACGCGAAGCGGTCACTGGACGCTTGAACTTTGGGATCTACGGAAACGCTGGCTGTATTTCCTAGTTCAGGGGCCATCTCAGAACGGTTTTCAGCTTTAACAGCTGTTGTGAGTAATAATAATAACAAAGTTAGGTGGGTGTATGTAAGTCAAAACTATTATAGAGTTGCAATAAATGTTTTTTTACTCTGTTAAAAATTGATTTTGTTTTGTTTTTCCCTTTGGCGAAGTCAAAGAAAATTATATCATTTATCATTATGATTATGTAATTAATGGAAAAAGGTAAATTTCATTTACCTTCAAATTATTGAATTATCTCAGAAAATGTCTCGTCGTCCCAATCACTCAATATTTTCATCGAAATCCCCGATGTGGAAGTCAGGGTAAATTTCCATCTGTTCCTCCATGTTGATGATTTCAAAAATAGTTCTATTAATTAATGTATACATACACGGTGATGAGACCTCACAAATTCAGTGATGACACTTTTTAACCAATCAGATCAGGGAACATACCTACTTTTATATTACAATTAATGTTAGCATTCACTGATACGCACATTTGCTTGGGGAAAAGGGGAACTTGTACCCTGTTGACATAAATGATAATCAAAAGCGAAAAAAACCTTTGTAAGAATTCTAGGCTAAACGCCGAGTCCATTCTGTGATTCAAGACTGTATCAAAATCATGTGTGCATGCTTTATGCCCGTTAGAATATTTGCTTGAATATGGGGTATTTCATTATTAACGTCTATTGATTAGGGAGCGGGGTGTAGCCTAGTGGTAAAAGTGTCACGTCGAAGAGTTTGATTGGTTGGTTGGTAGTTGTTTAACGCCGCACTCAGCAGTATTCCATTATAATACGGGTCTCGCATTTTAGGACCGGCATCAGGTGAGATGTGACTTTTCTTGGAGGCATGATATGTTTACATGATGAGGTCTCCATACCATGGTTTCAATACTTCCTGAAGTCATTTTATAAGTAAATAATCTTCAAATCGTCCAAATTATGCATGTGTGTTTTTTTTGTGTTTTTTGTTGTTGTTTAACGCCGCACGCAATATTCCAGCTATATGACGGCGGTCTGTAAATAATCGAGTCTGGACCAGACAATCCAGTGCTTGATATCATTAGCATCAATCCACGCAATTGGGATACGATGAAATGCATTAACCGAGTCAGCGAGCCTGACCACCCGATCCCGTTATTAAATGCCGGAATTAGCTCATCTTCCCGAGGCAAGGGGTTTAAGTCCAGTTTCCACCCTTGCCGAACAAGGCTGGTATTATGGAGTTACATTTTGGCTGGACTAACGAATCTATGCATAGCCCAATCTAAATCGCGCACCGAAATCGAAATCCGGTTCGTAAAATGTCGTGCAAAAATCCGGTCGATTGCAAGATTTGCAAAGCATGTGCACCGCCAACTCGTTGTCAGCAGATATTTTCCAAATCTTTTCATGTCTTTAATCAAGGTGCTCACGTGATTTGATGCATTTCGCGATGTAAGACCCGTTTTATCACAATATAGATCTTGATTAGCGATCAGATCGTCCTGACCGGGCGCCGTGTGAAGCAAACGCAAGTGATACGAGAGGTGGAATCTGATTGACCTATAGGAGAGGCTTAGAAGGGACATAGCAGGTAATAGCCACTGGTGGCGCTACGATCGAGCCCAGTTATTCCAGCCTAGTTCGGAAAGGGTGTAAACTGGACTTTAAAGTCAGTTAAATCTCTTGCCTCGGGAAGATGTAACTAGCTGTGCAGAATTGCGACTATTAGGCATGCCAGGATACATGGTCATGGGTTCGAATCCAGGAACCGCCTTGTTTATGGTCCTTGCGTTGTCAGTACCAAGTGGGTGTGTAATTATTGATCAGATATTATGGGCATATACCCATCTCGGGAATCGAACCAGGGTCTTCGGCGTGATGAGCGAACGCTTTAACCGCTAGGCAACCCGAGCGCCCCCATAGACTATAACTAATTATCCGCAGACTGCGTTGGGCCTGAGAACAATTTGTTACATAAGTGTACTGATCAGCATACTTTTGCAACGAGGAAAGTACAAAATGACAAAGGTTCTAGACATTTACCATGACGTTTGTGATGAAAACCGCGACCATGGATACAATGCTTAAAAACCAAGGATCACAATAACCATGTACAGTGCGAATTGTGGACAGCGCGACAGGCGGATCCTGACACGGCCAAGAAACACAACTACTTATGGAATGAGACAGTTCGACATACAACAGCAACTCAAGTTGACGATGTTGGCGGTCGATTTCTAGCAAACACACAAGGCAACCCCCTTTTTGTAGAAGACATTATGTTGAACAATAAATGCAAGAAGTACCATAGTGGGCGTCCCTCAAGACAGAGGAAAACCATCATATGTTACAGGATCCGAGATGGACCAAACCTTGCCTTTTGGGATGGGAATGCATAAACATTCGCACACATTCGATATGATCAGTCATTTAAAGTAAAAAAAAATAATGCACCTTCCAACATAAGGCAAATGATCCGGATTAGAATAGGTCTTCAGCAACCCATGCTTCCCATAAAAGGTGACTACGCTTGTCGTAAGACGCAACGAACGGGATCGGGTGGTCAGGCTCGCTGACTTGGTTGATGCATGTCATCGTAACCCAGTTTGGTGGATCGATGTTCATGATGTCAATCACTGAATTGTCTGGTTCATACTCGATTATTTACAGACCGTCATACAGCTGGAATATTGCTGAGTTCGGCAAATAAACAAACAAACAAAATAAGGCACACGCTATAACGACACACGTGAGCCACGTGAACTACTGCATTCTCTAAAAAAATAAAACACGTTACCAACTGATATGCGACCAAAGTGCAACGACTATTGTATTGATTTCGTGGAAACGATAATACTCTTTCTAAGAATTGGGCGTTTCTTCTCGTTATCCTGTCGCCTTATATACTACAAGCTTTGATTGTGTTTATATCTGTTGAAGAAAGGGGGGCGAGGTGAAATTGGGTTTAACGTCGCGTCACATTATTACACTTATATAGCCACGTGTATGTGTGTGTGGCTGCTTGTACTAGTCCGGATTGATGCCGATTTATAGTGCTAGCTCACTGAGATACCATGCCCCAGTTAAACATGAATACTCCCTCAGACACAGTATACTGACTCCGAGCCGACCTTCAGAGTCCTTGTTTCAGCTCCTAAATGCCGAGCGCGAGACAGGGTAACAACAAATACCATCTTTTAACGTCTTTTGGTATGACGCGGCCGGGGATCGAACCCCGGACCTTCCGCTCTTCGGGCGGACGCTCTACCATTAGACCACGGAAATGTTGAAGACGCAGCTACTGTAAGTCCCCATGGACCCTAGCATGGTGATCTCTCTTCAGTGGCTGGCGATCTATAGCTCATTTTTATCTTGTATTGTTTCGCATGATGTTATATTTTTATGGCTAACTACTAGTTTTAGATATAATCTGTGATAAATCTTGTTATTTTACTGTCATTCGTTGACAGGTTTTTAATTCATATAAATATGTGTATTATTAATGCACTTCTCGTCACGATATGGCTGAAATACTGCCGATGTGACGTTAAATCTTAACTCACTCTCTCATCGAAACCGAAGCCCGAACTAGGAGTATTTAACAGAACTTGACCACCACCCCCATCAATAGTTGCATTATACATGTTGCATCGATAGACAGATAACAGTTCCAGGAAATTAATCGCTATCTCTCATGTGACTTTGTTTTAGTTTATAAGGACTTATGCATATGCATACATCCTGTTGGCTTCACTTCACGCGCCTAACGCTTATATATTTTGTATATTTTGGTTTCAAGTTGAAATGATTGCATGTTTATCATGCGTCCTCCTGTTGGCTTTCGGTGAGTAGATTTGCTTATCCTTAATACAGGTAGTTATATTCTTGTTGGTCTTTTCTTTTCTTATCCAACATTGCAATGTGAAATTATCTTTGTTAACAGGAATGTACAGCTTACTGTCCAGCCATAGCTACAGTAGATAGCGGTTGTGTATATGTGCGCAGCTAAAAACATTCACGTTCGTTTATTGTGGAGTGAACGAAGCATATTGGGCAAAAGAGCAATAAAGAATTGGCAGTACTTTGAATGATACAGGGTAGAAGGAAGTGATATTCGTTTTTCATTATACTGAACAAAATTAAAAACTTCACAATCCTAAAATTTTAACATTTTGACCAGTTATCATTGTGGGCCCTTATTGTGTATTTAAACAGTAATGGCCATGTATTGTCTTCAAATAACACCCGTTTTTGTGCAGGTGAATCGATCAAAATCATGTGCACAGCAATATAGTGGCAAAAGTTTTTTTTCACGTGCAACTGGTCACGTGGCCATAACACCGCACGTGTTTTCAGCCATACTTGTTAGCAGTCATTAACAAAAAAAGAAAAACACAAGAAAACAAAAGTCTTTACGGCCATTTGTCATGCCTCGCCTTTCAACGTGCAACGTGAACGTGTCTTCGGCATGTTGCAGACGGGAAGGTCCGTAGCTGAAGTCGCAAGGACGATTGGTTGTAGTCGACGGACTGTTTAGGATTTACAGACGCGTCTACAGCAAACGGGTACCACCGCTGATCGCCCTCGGCCAGGTCGACCACGTGTGACGTCGCATGCAGAGGATCGTCAGATTGTCTTACCTCACCTCCGTAACCGATTTTTGACGGCTACATCAACCAGCAATGAACTGTTTAGGTGTAGACTGAGTGCGCAAACTGTTCGAAACCGTCTGAGAACTGCTCACCTTCAAGCACGACGGCCATACTGCGGGCCGATTCTGACTCAATGAACGTTACGCACAGTGTTGTGTACAGGGAGTTGACAGATTTCGAGGCGGAAGCGTCATTGTGGGGTGCTTTCTGTGGCAATGCACGTTCCAGGCTTCTTGTCATCCGTGGCAAGCTCAACGCTGCTGCTTACCGCGACCAGGTACTGGCACCAGAACTTCTGCCTTTTATGGCAGCACATGGACCCGGCTTGATCTTCCAACACGACAATACAGACCCCACACAGCAATTTTGACAAGGAATTTCCTTCTGAATGCGGGAGTCAACGTCCTGGGCCCACTTGCACAAAGCAATCTTAGCGCTAAGATGATCGTAACGCCCATACTTTAACATAGACTTACAATAGTCTTAGCGCTAAGATCGCTTTGTGCAAGTGGGCCATGGACTGGCCGTCAAGGTCTCCAGACCTCAATCCCATCGAACACGCCTGGCATGCTCTTGGCAGAAGTCTGCGCACTCTCCAGAACCAACCACAGAATTTTCAAGATCTTGGCACCATTTTGCAGCAACGATGGCGTCGTCTTCCCAATCATGTGTTCACAAGCATCACAAGGTCCATGCGGAGGCGTTGTGTGGCAGTTGTCAACGCACATGGTGGCCATACACGCTACTGAACTTGTGTGCCATCAGATTCTCGTGCTTGGGACTTATGATTTAAACTGTTGATGTTATTACCGCATACCGTACGTGCTTGGAACAAATTATGATAACCACAGTTAATTAAAATCCTTCTCTGGACATTAATGATTAAAAAATACCTTCTCTGATACATTTTGTCCGTTTTATATCATATATGGGATTACTTTTAAAAATGTGAAGTTTTTAACTTGACTCAGTATATATCGGTTGCACTTAAGTGTGGCTTCATTGACATTCAATAATAATGACGCTCTGGAATATTTACCCTTTTGCACAGAAATTAGATATTAGATATACTTAAATGCAGTGAAAGATGGTTGATAAAGAGGCTTATATAAATATATGTCCCCTTCAAGTTCAAACAAGTTATAGCAGTAGTATTATACAATAGAATATTCTTTAGGAAGGTTGAAATGACAATACAATAATTTATAATACAATTTATTTCGGCAATTTGGCTCATGAAGGACAATTATTGTTACGTGTTTTATTAAGTGAAAGATAAAAAGTGTTTACAGGCACAGTGTCAGATAAATAACTTGGTGTTGTACCAGTTTTCTTAATTTGTGGAAGTGCCGTCTGTCTACCAAAGAGGATAGGCAGGTTTTGTTAAAGAAGTTCCAATGACTTGTTCCCCTCACTGCAGACCATATTGTCCATAGTGCATGTAGGGATGTACTAAATACCTCACTGTGATATGAGGTATTTTGCATGTGCCGTAACAAACAGAGAGACGGTTATATCTCACAGGCTTTAATGACCAGACCAGTATAAGCGACTTGTGAGCACGATCGGTCTATAATTAGGTTAGGTGAGGTGAAATGGGGTTTAACGTCGCGTCCATCTACTGCACCTATATAGCGACCTTTATGCACGTGTGTGCGTGTGGCTGTTTGTAATAGTCCGGACTGATGACAATTGGAAAGTGCTAGACCACTGAGACACCATGCCGCAGTTTAACATGAGTACACCGCTCCGACACACAAAACTGACTCCGAGCCGACCAGTCCTTGTTTTTAGTCCTTAAATGCCGAGTGCCAGACAGGGTAACAACAAGTACCATCCTTTAACGTCTTTTGGTATGACGCGGCCGGGGATCGATCCCCGAACCTTCCGCTCTCCTGTCGGACTCTCTACCACTGGATCACGGAGGCTTTCATCAAGCATGTGTCTCATCTGAATGAAAAAAAACTTTACAAGTGGTTTCGATAGGACGATAGCCGAATTCTTTAATACATGATTACATATCTTACCACAGCCAGTAGATTTCGATATGTCAAGTAACAATAATACATCCTTTTAACTTACGGACCGACCATTTGATATTCGTCGTTTTATATTGTTTCGAGAATAGATTTATTTTTCAGCTACACAACGAGATACTTATTTATTTAGGAGCCAAATTTTGCAACACCTTGCAACAAGATAATTGTTTTGGTAGGTTATAATATTTTCAACAGTCTGAATCATAATTATGTTTTTGAAGAATATTTTGCAATTTATTTTTAATCGATTTAAATCCCAGCTTTCTGTTTCTCTAATTAGGCCGCAGGCAGCTGCGTCGTCAGCAAACTTATTTGTCAAACAGTTATCAGAAGTACTAAAACTATAATTTGCATACAGGATAAATAAAATTGGTGAAAGAACACAGTCCTGTGAGGCATTGAGCAGGATATGTTATTACTATGGGTGAACGTGCCCCATTTACACCTGACAAACTGTGGTCTGTTGACAATACAAAAATTCGCCCATTTAATAATAGCTGGATTAACGCTAATATCGGCGAGTATTTTCATAAGCAGAAGAGGCTGAATGGTATTTAAAGCAGATGAAAAATCTACAAAGTTCTGACATGTGAGTTGTACACTTTTCTTAGTTGGTTTGGATATTGTGGTAGGAGGACAGATGTGCGTCTTCTGCACTTTGACCTGGTCTGTAAGGCAAACTGAAGTGGGTCGAAACTATGATATACTTTCTTAATAATACTTTCAAGGCATTTCTTCGCAACCGAAGTCAATGAACAGATGGACTGTTTTCTTTTGAAAGGGGATAACACTTGATGTTTCCAATAAAGGGGGGTTGAAAGATTGTTCACAGACATTTCGACAATTCTTTTAAAAATAACCAAACAAATGTTCTTTTCATACAAAACCTGACAAATTATCAGGGTCACAGGCTTGACGATGAGTTGGTTAACAGAACTAATAACATGATTTTTTGTTATGACAAAGTTATCCGATTTAGGCAGGGACTGATGCACATTTTCAGTTTCCTCTTTTAAAGCGTGTTTAAAAGTACACCAACTTGGTGTGACAGAAAAGAAAAAAATATGAAAGCCCCCCCCCCAAGACGAAATCAACTACAACATACGATTGTCATCACATCATTGTGACGTGACTGTGGACTACGCAGCGTGTTGTGAAGTCAATATCAAGGGGACATGGTACAGGTCCGTAAAGTGTATGATTAGAATGATAACAGCAGCCACTTCACACGTTTCAACTTCCTTGTCTCAGCGTTGGTAGCGTGGGATCAGCATGACCCACTTCCATGGACATTTATTATATTAAATACACACACGCACGCACGCACGCACGCACGCACGCACATACATACATATATATTCATGACGTCGTAAATGATATTTTTAGAGGAAAGTGAAACACTATGGCCGAACGAACGCATCCAAACATGGCATAGATTTGGCAATAATCATCAGTAATAGACATTTGCAGAGTTCGGATTCTATACAGCGAGTCATATTTTTTTAAGTTCAGGTAATTATTTTTAAAGCTTGTAAATGTTATTTACATCCTTAACTAAAGAGGCTGGAAAATATGCTGGTATCTCATATAAGATATGTACGAGTCGTGGCCGTCGTTTATCATTCAATTAAACAGTGCAGCGAGATTAACCACTCAATGCACCACTTGTGGTTTCTCCTGCAATGTTTTTTGTACGATCACGTGTCGTTTATTTCCTAAATACACTGGATTTGAAAGAAATTCTTTGGCGCTAAAAGTATACAACACGTCCCATTTTAATTCTGGAAACCCAAAAGTCCAGAAACTCTACGGTCTTTGCCCAGTCTCGGTTAAAGGTATTTACAAAATTAAACATGCCGTTTTCATGGTAACATACCAAGGAAGAAAAAATGAAAAAAAAATGTTTAAAAACTCAATATTTAGACTATGTCGCCCATGGGCGAAGTCTGGCCCATGGGCTAGAATATGTTCCTTTACTTAAAACTCATGTTTTTGTTTCGCAAATACATTTAATGTATTCATTCAAGTATCATGACACAAAATTTAACTCATTTTAACTTAATTCAACGATTTTATAGCGATATTGAAATATTTCGCCCATGGGCGAGAAAAACGTTTGGCCCATGGGCGAGTATATGTTCCTTCACTTAAAA